GTTTCATGATTTTTTTTATTTCATTGGTTATTATATATCTTGTTTTTTGGTTGCTATTCATTTATCAGTGTCTCTTAACATTCTTTCACTATTCTGTCAAAAGCTTCTATGTTTAGTAATTTTTTATGAATAAAACTTAAACACATTTCTTTTTTTTTGTTTGTTTCACTGTGTCGCCCAGACGGGAGTGCAGCGGCCGCTCCCGGCCGCCGCAGCCTCGACCCGCGGGCTCCGTCGATCCTTCGGCTCAGCCTTCCGAGGAGCCGGAACTCCAGGCGCGCGCTACCAAGCCGGCTGATTTTTTGATTTATTGTAGAGATGAGGTCTCGCTGCCCAGGCGGGTCTCGAACCCGCGGGCTCAGGCCATCCACTCATGTCAGCCTCCCAAAGGCGCGGGATTTTAGGCTGAGCCACCGAGCCCGGCTTAAATACATTTCTAAGAGATTCTACTTAAAGGCAGCCTATAATGAATTACATTCCAATGTGAATAATGCCTATTTAACTATTCCATGATATCAATCTACATTCAGAGATTATCTTTTTAAAGCAAGTTTCACAGGAACTATAGCAATTGAATACCTAATCCCATACTATAAAATATACTCAGCCATGCTGTGAAGACATGTTGGCATGACTGGTGTTTTGCTATGTTGTATGAAACTGTCTTGCCACTTTGGGACATAGGTAATGCAGAATATACGTGAATACTTTGTGTGTCATATTGAAATGACTAATTCTTGCGTCTACCTACATAGGAATACTATTTGATGCATTATTTTCAATGATAGACTTAATGCTATTTCACTGATCTTTGCATTTCCACTATTCTGTACAGTGACTAGAACAGAGGTGAAGCATGGCAAAAATTTATTGAACTACAGGGACTCTCTATGATTAAATAATTACAAATGAAATATAAGATATTCCAAGCTATGTGTTATTAATAAATTTATTCCTAATATCATTAATACTGATGACCTCTTTTTAGGTCATGTTTAAATATTTCAAATTTCTTTACATGTAACAACAGTTCAATGTTGAGAAAATAATTGCTGGGTTTTATGTTAATTATAATCTTTCCAAATGTTTTTTTCCACTTTCTTGCTTTACTACATAGAGTCTAATAGAAATTTTGACATTTTTTAGTAGGCCCAAATTTAACAAAGATTCAGTCTTCATTTTTTCCACTATTATTTATTTGTTACAGATAGGTAAAGATATCAAGTGAGACTGTAAACAGACTATCGGAAATTTAATGTTACTGTTTTTAGTAAATCTCTGATGTTTAAAAATCTTTCCCTAAGTTATTACTACTAGAAGTTTCATTTCAGCTGTGTAAAATTCAATTAATAGGTAAAGTTTCAAGTAAATATGTGTATTTACTATAAAATAATTATAGTCTGAAATATCAGTTCATACTTATTCTTTTATTTTTCAAATGAGTACTTTACTATTTTGCGGTTAAATTTTTATTGTTGTTCAAGTACTTTAATTTTTCAAATGTTTCTTAAAAAGTTATTTTTTTCATTGTCCAGGAACCCTTCTCTAATTGGCTGATTTACAAGGCAAAACCAATAAAACAAAATGAAAAATCCAAACCTTTGATAATTGTATTTATATATGCTTTTAGTTCTGCTTTCATTTTATAAAAGATGCACAAAGATTGTGCAAGTTAGTCAATCTTCTTTGCCTCTCTTAAACGAATAAAGAAATTGGCTATTCTAGTTTCAAAAGATAAGCCATGATCTGCATCATCAGTCATAGATGGAATTGCCATTTTGGATAAATATGAAGGAATGTCTTATCCAAAGTGTGGCTTTCAGCCTAATATTGTAGAATGCAAACCTTACCAGAGAAGGTACCATGAAGAGAGTTTATCTTTTTCTCTCCTTCTTTTCCTGCCATTTCCTTGGTTAGGTTCACTTCTAAATGTCCAATAGCTAAGAGTACCAGTCTAATAATCATGGTCAACAAATAGTTGCCCATTCATTCAACATATTACAAAAGATACATACATCTATATACATTTTATATATATATCACTTTTTATTTTCATTGTTGAAAATACTTCATATGACATAGTTGAACTAACTTGTGGTTCAATTTGTAAGAATTTTTTTCTTTTTTAGTAGACTATAGTTAAAGATAAAGAAAATTAAAAATAAGACAAGTTAACATAGCATAATAAAAATAAATTTAATGTATTTAAATTTACCTAATGCCATAGCTAAGTCTTAGCATAGGAGGAGGTTATATATCTTCAATATGCTTTGTCCTTTTTTCTTTGAAAGAAGAGCTGTACCACATATAACTAAAAAGTTGAGTTTGTTTTAGCTTTGTCTTTAGAAGATTATGTAAGCTTATATTTTATTATGTTCTCATATTTTTCATTTAGCTAAAATAGAATTATTTACTTTTCTATGCAGAGTAAAATGATAAAAGATTTGATGAGAGCAATAGCTCTCCTCATATTTTATTAAAACACTCTCATTATTCTTAAAGGATATCTTTAAAAATTTGTAACCAAGACATTATTTGAAAATATGATACAGGAAATAATTTTCATAATCCCCTCCATATTTCAAAAACCAAGTAATCTATAGTTGGCATTTTTCAAATATTTTACAATTTAATCACCATAAGAAAACTGTAAAACTTTTATTTTGATATTACAAAGAAAAAATTGAATTTCAGTACATTTAGGTAACTTTCCCAACATAATACACTTGATAAATACTAGAGTCAGGATTCAAATAATAATGCACCACATTTTAAAACTTTTGCTTTTTGCTAAAATACTACTTTTTTTATTTTATTTGACTGCACACGATCACTTATTGAGTTTCTATTATGACAAAACTTGACAGCCTAGGTACTGACTGTTGCTTATTGGCTTCAAGATGACCCAAATTTTCTAATTTAGCTCAATTTTATTTTTCTTCTGATACTTTAAAGACATTGTTACTATACATTTGACTGGTTAAAAAAAAAAGTAAGCTGTATTTCCTATGGCTTCTTTTCTTTCTTCTATTTTTATAATTTCTATACAATCTTTTCCTATTCTGAAATTGACATATTAACCTTTAGTCTAAAGTTTTCCTTCATTTAACTATACCTATTTGCCTCTTTTTCTTGCTTTGGAGAATATTGGGTGATGAATTCAGAATCAGTGAATATGGGGACAATAAAGAGCACTAGTAATTAGAAATCAAGTCCTTTTAAAAAAACATGGAGGGTGAGGGTCCTGAGAAGTAATATAAATTTCTAAGGATCAGATATCCAGTCACAGATCATGGTCTTTGAGGCTCGCAAGTCAAATCTCAATGTATGCATTTTGCCATTCTTTCAGCCAGCACTCAGTGCTGTCTGTGCATTTTTGCTTGGTTTCTCTCACTTCTCCAGTTATTTACTTTGTTTTCTGAATTTGTTCCAGTTACTTTCTCTGTAGGGTGCAAACTCTTTGAAGTCAGGCATTAGCTTTATAAGTCTTAGTATGTTTTTTAAGTGTCGTCTTTAATATTTCATAACTTAGCCAGATATTAAATGCTTTTGAAAAGTATTACAAATAGAAAAGCCACATAATATGTATTTGTAGTTTCAGACTATACCACTAAAATCAGTCCATGATTTTTCTGATGAGAACAGAATGACTATATCAAGTCTTAACTCAGTGTATGAAAAAATAAAATTCTATGAAATGAGCTGTCACAGAAAAAGAAAATACAAATCAGCTACAGAAAAATTAAGTCACTTTCTTAATGGGTCTTTGAAATGTATGATGCTTTGTTTTCATATTTACAAAAGTATAAATAAGTAATCTAGCATTAAGGTTATTGATACAATACCTCAATTAATACTTTCCTCCCAATGTCATTCTAAAGTAAAAAAGTGTTTATTTTATATTTGATAACAAGGAGGGTAATTACTAATTAGGGAGAACATTTACTCTTTAAATACACTTACCTGATGAATAAAGAGATTAAAAATATTTATTACTGTAGATGATCCCAACTTTTCATATTTTACATTTCAACTAAAATTATAACAATTCCCAAAGCCACATATATGCCATCTTTAAATACACATATTTACAGACCATGTAACACACATTTAAAATTAAATATTTATCTAAACTAGACACATACATACTTATTAGTATAATCTTATTTGAATAATAGAGCATTACATGAGATTTGTAATAAGAACATAATTAATGAGAGAACACTTTCTGAACATAAACCAACGTGGCAGATGCCCACATCACCAGGGTCTTAGACTTCTTGCTTCTTCACTTCCTTGCATTTCTAATTTCTCCCCCAACTGTAAAAGTCAAAACATGATGTCAAGTTACTCCTGGGAAAAACCTCCTCTGGTCATCATTCAAACCATGGATTGCCTAATATTTTAGTAGCAAGTTCTCTTGGCAGGAGAGGGGGTAATCCACTGAGTCTCAATCTGGTCATGTTTCTGTGACCAGATTAAGTGCGCCATATAATTATGCAAGTATGCTCACTTAAAAAGAGCCCAAAGGTGGATCTCATTCTCACTCATTAGTCTGGGTTATGCTTACTCAGAAGATCTGTAGAAATGAATACAACTTCATGAAAGTTCCTGCTGGTAGCTGATAACAAGAAATGATATGTCTCTATTCTCGAGCCAGAGTTAGTAACACAAGACCAAATGCTCTCCCATTATAATAACTTGATCACTTGTGCACTCTGTTATTGAGAGAAAGGGATATTTATCATTATGAAAAATGCTATCTGAACAGATAAATATCTGAGTATCATGCTGTTTATAGCTAGAAAAAAATTCTGAATTAGATATTTGGTCAAACTTTTGACCATTTTGCAAAAGCTTAACTTTTACTTAACTCCACAACCTTAGAAAATGTTTCTATTGCTTATTTACTGCCTTTAAATTAATAATTTTTTCTGATTATGAGAGAAATACCATTAAATGAAAGGTTTTATAGAGTATATTGGCAGGTACAGTGTGTATTTTGTTAGCAAATAGTTTGGGTTTACATTCTAAAAATCCTTACACATGACATATTTATCTTAAAAGGTGACTTTTCCTTAACATAAACATGCTGTATCTTAGAAACAGGTGTACAAGTTTGTCATCAAAATGAGAAAAATAAATTTTCTCTATAACCAAATGGCAACATCTGATTTTACATCTTGGAATTCATTGTAGGTAAATGAGCGTGATCGTCTCCTAAGATTTGTGGGTCTTTGAGGTCTTCCTTCTATCAAGTCTAAATAGATGTCAGATTTCAGAAAACGTGTATAACTGTCTTGTTCCATGAGCTGATACACTCTGCTTTGTGCAGCATCAAAACTGTGGAGGGCGGGTCGGGTTATACTCTTAGCAATGACTTCTTTGGTGTGAAAATCAAGGTTAACCTGAATAAACAGAAAAACAAACAAACAAACAAACAAAAAAAAACGCTAGCTATTATCAATCTGCTTAAGTAAATATTTTTGAAAGACATATTGGACAATGTTGGAGTAGGCACAGCACACTGGAATGCTTGGGTGGTTTTTCCTCTTATGGGTCTAGGGATCCAGTGATCTCTTCTAGCATTTCATCTGGCTAACATTTCATCTGACTCTTCTCTCCTTAAACTCTTGGTCCTTCTTACGCTCTGCTAATTTAGAATAATGGGATATTTCAGTGGTAAGCATCATACAGATCATTAGCTTAACTCAGTCATTTTGAGGAACTAAAACTTCACAGGAGTAAATTATTTGAGTTAAGAAAAATATTAAGCTTGGGGCATATTTGGGATTTCAGTTTGGAGTTTCTGTTTATCTCAGTGCTCGTTTCATTATGTTATGATACTTTTCTGTAGGCAAACATATACCTGAGTATGGAAATCTTTTAAAGATATAAAATTCTTTAATGTCTTGTATTATAGCACTGTTGATATATATATCTATATGAATATATATACACATATATATTATAGATTATAAATATAGATGTATATGCACATATATATTATAGATATGTAAATATATATGTATACATATTATATTTATTTAATTTAGATTCAGAGAGTATACATGTGCGTTTGTTATGTGGCCATATTGTGTAGTGGTGGGGATTGGGTCTCAAGTAGCACTACTGATTATATATATATATGGCTCTGATGGTGGTAGGTTTTTGGGTAGGTGTCCTTTCTTTGCCCTGTGGGTAACACCATACTGCTAGCTGCCTGTTTTTTAGTTTGTTTGTCCTTTTATTTCTATGTAAAAGACTGTCTTTGAGTAAGCCAGACTAATACATTGAAAGACAAAACAGATTGCAACATACTGAAACAAGGAAGATAACAATCATTTTTTGTGGAAAGATATTCACAGACAATATCACCTCATGGAGTATACTAATTAATAGTCAAACAAAACTCTTAACACTGACAGATTAGTAGTTCTACTACCTCAAAGAAGAAGTAGTATTTGTGGAACATTTTATAGAAACACATAAACTCTATTTAATTCATACCTAAGGACAGGCAAGTAAGATTTGCTAGTCTTATAACCATTTTAACAATTGTATCACACAATGGCCTCATATTGAGTTTGGAGTCAAAAAAAATTGCAGTTGTTTTTTGTTTGAACCTTTGCCCAGTTAGGTTTATCTCATCTCTCTATTATGATATTTTTTTAACTTGTCTTAAATTAGAGAAATAACATTTGTTAGGCAAATAAAAATTGTGTAGGTAGATGAGCTAAAATTAAAATGGCAAATGATACAAACTCCTTGATTTCTCTTGCCTTTATCGCTTATAGAAAACTTGTGCTAAGGTGATTTATATGGAGAAATAAATAAATCCAAATGTTGCTATTGATTGTGTTCATTCTTAGTCTAGAATGACAATAACTCTGAGGAATAATTTCAATTATACCTTTTCTTCATTGATAATGTCTTACAATGTATTCTGCTTGTATGTATAAATCTATATACATAACCATTTTCATTTCACAAAATATTGAACTTTCAGGTAGAATATATGGGAGTACCAATTTGATAAAGGAATATCTCTCACAAATTTAGATCTGAAAAGACTGGTTTTCAAAAGAAGGCATACACATGCAAAATATCATTCTGAAAACATGTTCAACTTTACTAACCAAAAGTAAAATAGGATAAAAGCCACAGTACCATATCATCTAACCCCAATTAGAATGGCTGTTATAAAAAAGATGAAAAATAAATGCTGGCAAGGATGCGAAGAAAGGGAAATTCTTAATATATTGTTGGTAGGAACATAAATGAGTACAGTAACTGTAAAAACAGTATGGAGGTTCCTCAAAAAATTAAAAATAAAATGAACCTATGATTCAGCAATTCTTATACTGAGTATATATCCAAAGGATTTGAAATCAGTAAGTTAAAGAGATCTATACTCCTATGTTTATTGCAAACCAATTCCAATAGCCAAGAGATGGAATCAACCTAAATGTCCATCAATGAATAAATGGATAAAGAAAATGTAATATATATGCACAGTATATTTTTTCTTTAACAAACATGTATTATATTCATAAAAGAAAATAAAGACTCATTAGAAAATCTCTAGGGCACTGTTTTGTTCAAGCATTATATACATTCTCAGAGGGGAGTGGCTTGGGCAGTTAAAAATTTAGATGTGATACTATTCAGCTATTTAAAAAAGAATGAAATCCTGTTGTTTGAGGCAATATGGATGAACTTGGAAGACATTATATGAGGTGAAATTAGTCAGTCACAGAAAGACAAATACTATATGACTTAATTCATGTGTGAAATCTTAAAATGTTGATCTCATAAAAATAGAGAGTAGGAAAGTGGTTATCAATGTCTGGGTAGGATAGAGGGAGAAAGGAGAGGTTGATTAATAGGTATAAAGTTATAGTCAGACAGGAAGAATAATTCCTGGTCTTATATAGTAGGGTGAGGGTAGTTAATAGTGATATATCATATATTTCAAGATAGCCATAAAACAAAATCTTGACTATTATCACTACAAAGAAATGATAAATGTTTGAGGTGATGGATATGCTCATTATCCTTATCTGATCATTATACAATGTATACATGTATTGAAACATCACACTATACCTCATAAGTACATACAGTTATTATGTGTCAATTGTAAACAAAATTGTAAAAATAGGTTTGGAAAAATAACATTTACATTTTTAAAAATAAAATAATTATTATTATCTTAAAAATGCTTTCAAGATGTTACCAATTCATACAATCATCTTTACTGTACCTCTTGTGGAGCATCGTTCTGTATAAATTTCTCATATATTGCTTTTGCTTTAAGAATAATTTGTTGTGGTTCCTTGCTTTTCTTGAAATCTTCACAGGCTATCCAAAATTCAATGTTTTCCTCACTGAATTCAGTCTTAAGAAATCTAGTAAAAGCCTCCAGTCCATCTACCAAGAAAATAAATGATATAATTGTAAAACATTGATCCTGCAAAAAGATACTACTTGATAATAAAGTATAATGGCAAATATTAACAAGAAAGCTATGTCTTCTAACAGCACAGCAGTGGACATTTTGCAAAATATACATGAGGGAACATATGTAATTTTCCTAACTATGAAAGGTGAGTATTATTTTTGTTGAAATAAGGCCAATATCAAACTTAGACCTAAGTGTGCAACTTAGGCTTAAGAGTAAGAGGGACCCCTAATGTGGACCTCGCTTTGTCTCTATTTTTTTTAGAGGTATAATATTTTTATTTTTATTTATTTGTTTTTTATTATAAAGATGTGGGGTGCATTTCAGGGTTACGTATATAAACATTGATCATCACCCTTGTTGATGGGGTATGCTCTTCCCTCCCCTACCAGTCACCCTCAACCACCAATCCCACACTCCCCCTGCAACAGTTTCCCACTGCTGCCAATTGCTTTCTTATAGCATTATAATTGTTCAAGGTCTGTTTATGAGTGAGACCATATCATATGGAACTCTGTTCTTTGTTTCTGTGATACATCACTGAGTATGATCGACTCCAAATCCATCCAAGTTGCAGCAAAGTCCATATATTAGTCCTTCCTTACGGCTGCATAATATTCCATTGTGTATATATACTACATTTTTTTAATCCAGTCCAGTTTCGATGGGCAACACAGTTGGTTTCATGTTTTTGCTATTGTGAATAGAGCTGCAACAAGCATATGTGTGCAGGTAGCAGGTATCTTTTTTGTAGAATGATTTGAGTTCCTCTGGGTATATTCCCAGTAGGGGAATTGCTGGGTCATATGGAAGGTCAATTTCTAGTTCTTTCAGGAATCGTTACATTGTCTTCCAAAGAGTTTGTACTAGTTTGCATTCCCACCAGCAGTGTAGAAGCGTTCCTTTTTCTCCACATCCTCACCAGCATCTGTTGTGCTTGTTTTATTAATGATGGCCATTCTTACAGGGGTTAGGTGGTATCTCAATGTGGTTTTGATTTGCATTTCTCTGATGATGAGTGAGACTGAGCATTTTTTCATATGTCTATTGGCTGTCCGTATATCTTCTTTTGAGAAGTATCTATTCATGTCTTTTGTCTACTTTTTAAAGGGGCTGTTTGTTTTTTTTCTTTTGGCACTTTTGTGTTCCTTGTAGATCCTAGATGTAGGTCTTCATCGGATAAACAGCTGGCAGATATTTTTTCCCAATCTGTGGGCTGTCTCTCTGCTCTCTTGATGGTTTCTTTTGCTTTGAAGAAGATCATTAATTTGATGAGGTCCCACTTGTCTATTTTATTCTTTGTTTTGTTTTGTTTTTGTTTTTTGAGTTGGAGTCTCACTCTGTCACCCAGACTGGAGTGCAGTGGCTGCTCCCGGCCACCACAACCTCGACCCGCTGGGCTCCGGCGATCCTTCCACCTCAGCCTTCCGAGTAGTTGGAACTACAGGTGCGCGCTACCCCACCCGGCTAATTTTTTGATTTATTGTAGAGATGAGGTCTCGCTGCCCAGGCGGGTCTTGAACCCGCGGGCTCAGGCAATCCACTCACCTCAGCCTCCCAAAGGCGCGGGATTACAGGCTGAGCCACTGAGCCTGGCTTATTTTATTTCTTAAGATATTGGCCTTTAAGGTTCTTGATAGGAATTGGTTCCTAGTTCCAACTTCCATAAGGGTGTCTCCTGCGTTTTCTAAGATTCTTATAGTTTGAGGTTATATGTTCAGGTCTTTGATCCATTTAGAGTAATTTCTGTGTATGGTGATAGGTAGGTGTCCTGTTTCAATCTTCTGCATGTGGTCAGCCAGTTTTCCCAGCACCATATGGAATTTGTTTATGCTTGATTTATGGCCAAGGATGGTATCAAATTTGGAGTATGTTCCCTGTGGTGATGAGTATAATGCATCTTCTGTGTTTGTTGGGTGGAATAATCTGTAGGTATGCACTAAGTCCATTTTGTCAGTCAAGTTTGGGTTCTGGATCCAAGTGTCAGTCAAGTTTGGGTTCTGGATCTTCTTGTTGCTTTTTTTGTCTCGATGATCTGTCTAGGGCTGTCAGTGAGGTATTCAAGTCCTCTACTATAATATTGTCAAAGTCAATATCTTTTTTTAGTTTATTTAGTAGTTGTTTTATAAATGCTGGTGCTCCTGTGTTGGGTGCATATATGTTTAAGATAGATATTTCTTGTTGATGGATTGAACCTTTTATCATTATGTAGTGTTCTTTCGAATCTTTTTAAAATTTTTGATAACTTAAAGGTTGTTTTGTCTATTAAGATTATGACTCCTGCCTTCTTTTGTGATCCATTTGCCTAGAAACTTGTTTTTCATCCTTTAACTTTGAGTCCGTGTGCGTCCCTTATAATGAGATGAGTCTCCTGGATGCAGCAAATAATGGGATCATGGTTTCTTATGCAGTTCACCATTCTGTGTCTTTTCAGTGGTGCATTTAGTCCAGACACATTCAGACTAATTATTGAAATGTGAGAGTTTAATCCCTATTCTTATAGAGTTGTTGTTATTTCTGTTTATTTGTTGTCTTTTCTTTGGTTTTTGGGTTGATTCATGTGTGTTTTCCATCTTTTTCCTGTACACTTATGAAGAATATTGTCATTCTTCTCTCTTTTTCTTCTGTGTTTAATACTTTCTTAAGTGTTTCTTGTAGAGGTGGTCTGGAGGCAACATAAGTTCTTAGGGATTGGATGTCTGGGAAAGATTTTAATTCCCCCTCTCTGATGAAGCTTAGCTTGGCTGGGTAGGTTATTCTTGGTTGAAATTGTTTATCTTTGAGAACTTTGAAGATTGAGCTCCAAGCTCTCCTAGCCTGAAGTGTTTCTGTAGATACATCTGCTACTATTCTAATTGCTCTTCCCTGGTAGGTAGTCTGACCTTTTCTCTTGCTGCTTTTAGGATTTTTTCTTTTATACCTACATTGTTTAGGTGACTTATTATGTGTCTGGGAGTTGGTCTTCTCATTTGTTGTCTTGTAGGGGTTCTGTTAATCTCTTGTGTTTGAATTTTTGCATCACTGATGAGATGAGGGAAGTTTTCTTGAATAATTTTATAGAATGTTTGTTCCAGGGTGGTCTCTGTCTCTCTTTCTGCCTCAGCAAGTCCAATTACTCTTAGGTTCAGTCTCTTGAAGTAATTGCTCATCTCTTGAAGGTTTCGTTCTGTCTTTTTAAGCTTCTTTTCTATGTTTTTGTCAGTTTGGGTTAGTTCTGTATTTTGGTCTTCAAGCTTTGAGATTCTTTCTTCTACTGGCTAATTCTGCTTTCCGTGCTTATTAGTTTGTTATTTATTTCAATCACAGTATTCTTTACTGCTGTTATTTCAGTTATCAGTTCCTTCCTATTTTCCTCATCTCTCCTCAAGTCTTTTTATTCTCTATATTAATGTCTTGATGTCTGGGTTTGTAGTATGTGACCAGTCATTCTAGGGGCTCTTCATTGTGTTCCAAAGTCTGATTTTTCAGTGTCTGACCTCCCAGGGGTCTGTGTGAGACTTATATTCTTCTTTTAGTTTTTCTTCATTTTTGTAGATTTTCCTCCCCACTTTTCTCCCCTCCCTGTATTCTTTAATTCTGTTGTTCAGGGGTGGAGGGGTTGCTTTTGCTTCTGTTTGTTCAATCTCCTATTCTTCCTTGTGTATATCCTCTGACTTTGTTCAATTCTGGAGCTGGACTGTGGGTTGGGGCAGTGCTTTTTGCAGTTTTAACATTTAATTAAGGGGGGAGCTGTGATTCAAAATTTGTTCTCAGATCCCAGTTTCCACCAACAGATGTATGGATAATCTGGAACCCACTGCCTTGCAATCTGTCCATGCAGTGGGGTTATAGGTTTACTCCTTGAACACAAAATGAGATATGAAAAGGGAAACACATGGAACAGGGAGTGGGGGGATGAGAAAGGTGGAGAGAGAAGAGTAAGAGGGAAAACAGACAAATGTACTGACTAACAAAAGAGAAGAGACACAAAGACAGATATGAGTAAAACAACAACAACAACAACAAACATACGAGAAAACAAAAACATACAGTCATACAGACGTACAAGCTAACCAACTTCCTTACTGGTGTACTATTCCCCTATACAAACATGAGATCTAAAGAGAAAAAAATAAAATAGAATAGAATACAGTCAGTAAACTAACAGAACCAAAGCAAGTATGAAAATGTTATTGATAACAGTAAGAAAAGGGAGACAAGGGGAAAAATGGATAAGACAAACAAAGAATTTAAAAAATATATTAAAACAGGAGAACCAAGCACACTCTGAGACTTTTCCTTTAAGTCCAATGTCCTTTCAGCTCTGATTTCTACCTCTCATTGCAGGCTGGTGGAGGTGCTCACAGTTAGGTTCAGTTGCCCCTGACCTGCTGTGGAGAGTAGTTCAGATCTGGGCTGCCTGCAGCTGAGGCACTGGCAGCTGAGCAGCTTGTGAAGAGCAGGCTGGCAACGGTGAGTACCGCAGCCCGTGGGGAAGAGCAAGAGTCTTTATGGGTGTTCTCTTATGTGAAGGGTCTCATGGATCAAAGTGCCCCATTGCCATCTTGCCGGAAGTCACTTTGTCTCTCATTATCCATGCCTCCCTCTCAGAGTATGAGGACTAATTCTACAGAGCTGAAAAACCATTCCACTTGCATCTCATCCCACTCTCTTCTATACCATGCTTCTGGTACTCAGGATCCTGAAATTCTCTTTCCAAAGGCTCTATGCATTTAGGGTTTACGCAGTCCTATTTCCCAAGCCCAACCATGAAAAGCACCCTGACTCACCTGTATGCATACTCTAAGGCCTGAGCATAAATCAGTCTCTAATTTGCAAATGGGAGTGTCAACTCAAATTTTCAAGAAAGCCTCTCACATTATTCAACCAAACCATGGGTGGTAGAGAAAGAAGGTAGACCATGTTTATAGTGCAGAACTGTGAAGGGTCTGAGAATTTTAAATTCAAATGTAACCTTTCACGTGGTTTA